ATGGGTAAGTCTGATTTTTTACAATGCGAAAGAGAACAGCTTCTTCCAGATGAAAAGCAGATAAAACCAGGTTACTCATGAGCTCCTCACACACATAATTACATAGTGCACCTTTTTTTTCCCCATTTCACAAATCAGATTATTTATTATTTTTTCCCTTGCAAGGACTTAAGGAAGAGTCCTCAAAAGACATACATGAAAGACAACATGGTCTCATCTTCTAGATTTTATGGCTCAGTGGGTTTAACACTGTTGTACCACTCTCAGGTACCATGAAGTAAAAACTTAACACAGACGTATAAGAATAAAACCTGTGTAATCTGAAAGCTCAGTCTGCATGTGGTTTTATACACTACCTCACATTTCACTGACGATTCACATTTATCAGATGCAGACAAGCAGATCTACCAACATTCATAATTCTTCAGTGAGGCCAACGGAGGAATATTTCATGCAGGATGCCTTTCCTGTAAATAAGTGTTCAGAGAACTAAAAAAACCCCTAAATTTCATACTCCCTTCCTTGGTCTCTAAGAGGAGAGAGAAATTCCCATCTGTTCTACATGACATCTCTATCAGCATTTTCCCGGGGAGGTTTCAGACCTGCAACCCCCAGCCAGAATGGAGCGAATACAGCATAAACGCCTGCTGGAGAGTTAAAGATCAGCTCTTAGGCTGCCAAATCTGAATAGCTCTTTTCTGCACCACTGAAAAGCAATGAGGACGCTTCAGTGAACACTCTAGGTTGTTTAGGTAGATGAATAGTTGAAGTTGCTTTTCTGGCATGTCCTCTGTATGTACGCTGGCACTGTCCCATGAATCTGAAAGGCGCACATGGCTTATGTTGCACGCTTCCCTCTACACTCAGATAATATTAGTCCACTTTTTCTATCTAAAACATGTATTGCATTAAATTACCAAATGGATCCTAAGTGATGTTACAGCCTTTGGATGAGAAATAACTTCCTTCATAAACACATGTCCTTTTCTTTGCATTTACAGAAATAAACCTTCCAGGTCAAACTGATCATGGTACCAGGGATGCTGCAATGAACCATGTCCTGAGCAGGAGTGATAGGCTGAACCCTCCAGCAGGGAGGGACTGCACAGTAGAAGGACTGCCAATGTAATTTCACTTGAGCACTTCTCTCATCCCTCACTTCTCAAGGAGAGAACCACCCAAAGAGCCACCTGAGCTTGACCAGGAGTGTGGGGAGTTTACCTGCTTCCAGAGATGGGCTCGCTAATATGAAAATATTAACAAGGGAGCTTTCCCATAACCATGTCTCTGTTACAGAGTACTCAGGATAACCAAAGTCAGTAGAAGATTAGGAGGAAATGAACTTCTTTTTTCCTTTAACACATCTTCTCAAGAATCCATTGCTAATAGCCACGACAGCAAATGGCACCACATACTACAGTAGAAAATAAGATCTGCAAAGTACTATTCATAGACCTGGGGATCCTGGTCTTTAGCTCTTCTTAGTTCATTAAAATACCAGTTTTCTGTATTTTTAAAGCACTGCCAACTTCAGGGATAATGCATAATGATGGGATGTGTGTGGCACAATCTGATGGATATTCATTCTGTATTTCAGACCCTCTTTCTCATGTCGGGCTGTCTCTGTCTCTGGTATATTGAAATCTTGTGATTAAATCCTCTTACTTCATTGCTTCCTTACTGATACTCCTCCTTTGTCTGGCAAAATTTTAATTACTATGGTACTGCATAACTCCATTCAGTGCTCTGATACTACCTCTGTGACAGGAGCAAAAGCAATTCCTAAGATAGAATACAAGTATAATACTCTATCATTATGTCTTCTTTACGGCTCCTAGTACCCTCTTTATGGCTGCTAATATACTGTGGTCTCTGCCTTTCTCTTACTGATTTCTCCTCTCCTCCACTAAATGTGCCCTTTTTCTTACCCAGAGGTACAACACCCTATCTCTGCTATCTCTCTTTCCTGCTCCCAGATATAATGTAGTGAAGTTATCCTTGTCATGTTATTCTTTCCTATCTCTCAAAGACAGGAGTCTATATAATGCTCTACATCTTCTGCAACACAATTAGCAGCCAGGAGGCAATGGTCTGTACTCTGTGTTACTGTGTGTTGCTTAAAGCACAGTGGGTGGACCTGACACAAAAGTAAGAGCAGGAA